TTCCCCAGCCAGCTTGGCTGGCTGGGGAATTCTGGGAGTTGAAGTCCACCCATCTTAAAGCAGCCAACGTGGAGAAACACTGTTCTTGGACTTGCAAGGTGATGTTGCCATGCAAATATGTCTTTAATACTCAGTCCTTTAATACTTAGTTCCAGCAAACGTTTCTCTGGGCCTTTGGAAATCTCTTTCATGCTTTCTGCTTTTCCCTTTGCTGCTTATTTATTTGTTTGCTTAATACATTCTCGTGGCAAGAAGGACTCTTGGCAACTTCCAGTTCAAAAAAGCGTGAAAATGGCATAGCAAGGCCAGCCAAGACACTGAAACTATTTCAAAAAAACTGATCCAAGTAGAGGTGAGCAATAATCACAGAGATCCAAGGCACAGTGTAAAAATATTTAAGTAGCTATTAGTTGGGAGAAGAAAAGAGGGGAGGTACTAGAATGCTTTTTCCTATTTTTTTTTCACTTTTTTGGTTTGTTTTGTCTTTAATTTTGTTAAATACATTTTCACTTCAGCCTTTGCTCTGGTATGAATTTTATGTATCCCTTTCTCTTTTCTCTGTTTTTGCTTTTCTGTTGGTTTTGCCTAATTAAAGAAAAGCATGAAAACCAGGGATAAAAAATGCAATACAGTATAAAATAATGTAGTAACGCTTTGTAACGTTAAAAAAAAACACAGGATAATGAAATAGCTTGAAATAATAACCAAGACCAACCAACGTCAATCTCATTTGGATGTTTTATATTCTACATGGGCTCGTCCCATGATCTGGCCCAGTGCTCCAGGGTAGAGCCCAGTCTTCAAAGCCTTGCAGAAGAATCAGGGTCGTCTGAACCCAGAGAGAGGATGGGAGGACACTCCATAGGAGAAGGCACGTTCTCTGGGTCCCACATTCTCTGGGTCCCCAAACACTGTTTTGAAGAAGGGACCCAGATCTCCCAGGATGAGGAGAGGCCGTTGGAGGCAGGCAGTCCTGCCAGTAGCCCAGCCCTTTGTCATGAAGGCGTTTATAGGTGATCACCACTGCCTTGAACGATTACTTCTTTGAGTCTCCATGGCAGAGTTAGGCCAAAGAAATAAACAGGCCCAGAATCCATGTCTTCTCCGAATTTTGTGAAAATGCACTTTTGAGGAGTCGTGGGAGATCAGAAGACATGGGTTTGCATGTAGATCTTTAAGCTCTGTTTTTTTCTTCAATGGTCCTTTGTTGTGTCAAGTCATTTGGAAGAAGGGGGCAGACATCAGAAGGCCAGGAGGGAGGGACATAAAGGTAGATGGAGCAAAGAGTAGACAGTTCAGTTCACTTTTAAAGCTGGATGTTTCCTACATAACAGTGTGGGTGATTAGAGCACTCAGGAAGAGGGTATGTCCAGCGGGAACCCAGAAGAGAAGACCTCCATCCTACAATTTTTATTTTTTGCAGACCACCTCCACCTTCCATTGATCTATATACCTAGACCTTGACTGATGAGGAAATAAAATATTGCCTATTTCTTACTCCTGTCCCTCCCTGACAGTTCAAAACACACCCTTCTAGATGCCCAGCCCCACAGCTTGGAAGCCTTTGGAGAAGAGGCAACATTATACTTTGCATTCTTGTGGCTTGGACTGGGAGGTGATATTTGTAGAATACGGTTAGCAAATTGACTCATGTTCAGTTGACTGTGCATTCAACCATAAATTAACAAGCGGGCTGGCTTCACATCATGTCCTAAGCCAAATTAAAATTAACCTAGTATGCTGCACTAATGATTTGGTTGTACCATCTTCAGAAACATGAACTGTATGCCTGCAGTCTCAGGAACTGTCTGTCTACTTTCTGTTTCCTTTAAACTGGAAATACTTGAAATTTGTGCAGGCGTCCAGGAAAAGCTACAATGACATTACAAATAAGCCACAGGGGTCATGACATCAAGGCAAAAATGCTATAAAACACCTTTTTCACTATGATGTCATGACCTCTGTCAGTTCCTCCCTCCCCCTCTCTTCATTTAACCTGATTTGATTCCTCCCTAGTTACATATTTAACAATTTCCCCTTTGCATCATGTTAGACGTTACGATCCAGAAACCTTTCTGAAGGTTTCTCAGCCACGTACTCAAGTTTTCCAGGGACCTGAATAGCTACAGCAGTCTCTGCATAGTCACCTGTGGAAACAGGTGGTTGGTTCTGGATTTAAAATGACCCATGGAGGGTACAGGCCATTTCTTTTTTCTTTCTTGCAGTTTTTTTTTAGTTCATTGGCGATCTGCAAACTGGAGGTCATCCTTAGGTTGGTATGAGCTTTTCATTGGCTGCTAATGGCCAGATCTTGCGACAGTGTAAATGAGTGTTTCTCAATCTTAGCAACTTGAAGATGTGTGGACTTCAACTCCCAGAATTCCCCAGCCAGCCATGGGTAAACTGGTGTAAATATACCTGTCATTCCCCTCTTCTCCAACTCATCAATATAGCTATATTGCTACTGGGGGTGTATGGGGGCAGTGGGGATAGGGTGTATTAATATCACACTGACCTAGCAGTTGCCCTTGGATCTGTGAATCCGGTGTTGAATCCAAAGTGGAATTAGTCTCGGCTCAGTGCCTAATGAACTCCGCTCCTGTTCTGTAATGTAACACATAATTCAGTCGAAGAACGCAACGGTGGTGATTGATGATGGCTCCCTTTTTCAGAGAAGAACATCCGAGCCGGATTGCCATTAATTTTTAAAAATATAAATATTCATTAAATATTTATAACTCAATATAGCCGGGCCTTCATGGTTTGTTTGCTTCAAGTTTATGTCGATGCCATTACTTTTTATCTCCATCTTGGAGGCTGCTGTTAAGTTTAAAAAAAAAAGGCCAAGCAGGATTTAAGAAAAACAAACAGAAATAAAACCCACCATTTATTTATTTTGCTCTTCCTTCTCAGCCCCGGAGCAGTCAACTTTGTTCGGAGGCTTGCGGTACATCTGAAAGCGATTTAAAAGGGGTTGTCTGCAGAATGATCCGTGGGTTGACAAAAGGTTGGGCGGCTATCTTCTGCGGCACAACTGCTCAGAATTAGCACTCTCAAGAGGACTTGCTCAAGATTGCAACCCTAATCCTTCTTCCATGGAAGTGAATTTAACTCTGTCGGATCAATGGGTCTTCTGGGTAGCCGGGATCAATGTGTTAGTTTCCCCAGGCCAGGTTATGCTGTGTAATTCTGTTGACATCAGCCGCTTTACCTTGAAGATTTGCACAGCAGTGTTGCTTCTCCTCTTTATGGTCATATCATATGCACCTTTCCATCATCCCTGCCTGCGTGTGTATGTGTGTGCGTTTCTCAAGGGTTTCTCTCCCCATGGAAAAATCAGGAGGATTCTGCTAGCACCTTTTCAGACTAACACATTTCATTAAAAAGCATAAGCTTTTGGGAGCGACAGAGGCACGCATCTGATGAAGTGAGCTGTAGTTCACAAAAGCCTGTGCTTTTTACTAAAGTTTGTTCTTCTGATTTTTGGCTATCAGAGGCTATCACGCCTCTGCTCCTACAATATCTCCAGGTGAAGTGCTTTATCTCAGCAGCTGAAACAAAATAGATACTGCACTGATCAATACTGGGCCAAGAAGGGCTGTTGGGTACAAGAGATTCACCTTGTAACTACCACCATCCCTGTTTTTGGCCCTCCCCAAAGGTTCAGGGGAAAATGTCCTCCAAGGCTAGAAGAAAAGAGCTAGCTCTGACTTCCCACACCACGTTCAGAGCTCTCTGCTATAAATAAAGCTTGAAGACACTCTGCTTCATAGCTCCCAGAAGCCCCCTGTGGGTAATACAGTAAGCTTAAAACAAGCCACTGTTTAATGGCCAATGTGCCTTTGTTCAGAAAGTGCAGGCTTTCTAAAAGCAATCAGAGCACCCATTATGACTCACAAATAAGCATATTTCTGGAAATTTAGATTAAGGTTCTCAAGAAGTGGTAGCATCTTGGATGGTGGTCTGCCAATGATTTCCAGGGCTATAGAGTAGACCGGGAAGTTGAAAATATTGCAAAGATGCTGTCACTCCTCCCTGAGTAGATGGTTCCTGTTAGTGTGCTTGGGGAAGAACAGTGAAAGAAATGGACACTCTGCTGTGTATGCCACGGAACTCAGCTTTTTCAACTGTGCTATTTAATATCTACGTGAAACCACTAGGAAAGGTCATTTGTCAGTTTGAAGAAATCTAGAAGGCTAGGCAAGATAGAAAGAGAAGAAGAAGAAGGCCAGCATTTGATTACAGCAGTGACAGCTACACAGTTAGAACACCTAAAAGGCCAGATTGGGGGCAGATCATCCTGGAGAAGGTCTGTGTGGTCACTAAGAGTCAACACTGACTTGATGACACAATCATCCCTATGCTGATGATACACAGGGTTGTACAGGTAGTCCTCGACTTACGACCACTTGTTTAATGACCATTCAAAGTTACAGCGGTGCTGAAAAAAGTGACTCATGACCAGTCCTTGCATTTATGACTGTCACAGCGTCCCTGTGGCCACGTGATCAAAATTCAGGCACTTCATTGCCATTTGCAATCTTCCCAGGGGGCTTCCGACAAACAAAGTCAACGAGGAAGCCAGATTCGCTTAACGACCACATGATTTGCTAAACAAATGTGGCAGAAAGTCATAAAATTGGGTGAGGCTCAGTTAATGACCGCATCGCTTAGTGATGGATGTTCCAGTCCCAATTGTGGTCCTAAATAGAGGACTACCTGTATATCACCAACCCTGGTGGAGATTCTCACCCAATGTCTGTGCAAGACTGGATGAGTCCAAACAGGCTCCAATTAAATCCCTACAAGATAGCGTTGCTGGTTATAGATGATCAATCTCAACTCTGAGTCACATTCCCCCTGAAGGAGCAGATCTAGGATTCGGAGATCCTCCTGGACTCTGGGCTACTGCCAGTCACGCAGGTGGAGGTAGTGACAAGGAGGGCCTTCACCCAGCTTTGTGGCTGGCCTTGTTGGACCAGGAAGCCCTTACGGTTTACGCCCTCAGAACTTTTATGCGTCTGTTTTATTAGATTTATAGGCCACCCAATTTCTTTCGCCAGTAGAGTACCACAATGTGCTTTACATGGAGCTGCTTTTAAAATGCATCAGCCCTACTACTAACAGGAAGAAATAGGTTGCGTAGACTTGCAACTATGTTGAAGTCCCTGCATAGTTTAGGACAGTGTTTCCCAACCTTAGCAACTTTAAGATGTGTGGACTTCAACTCCCAGAATTCTCCAGCCAGCATGTGCTGGCTGGGGAATTCTGGGAGTTGCAGTCCACACAAAGGTTGAGAAACACTGGGTTAGGAACTTCTGTAATTATGTCTGTCTGTGATTCTTATTCTTTACGGTGGTTTTACTTCTGTTGCACCGTCAATCACGCCGAGGCTTTTGAAGTAAGCAGTGACATCTGTTGAAATAAATGTGTGTCTAAATAAATTCTACAAGAAGGTAATGGCAGCCCCATTCTGTATGTATGCCAGACATATGGGGCTTCTGTTAGTCTGTTCTTCCTTCAGGCTCAGTGATGGCTATATTTGAATACATTACAGAGCTTCCCTCGGAGACTTGCAGTTCGTCGAAAGGTTCTTCCTATGCATGCCTTTCAAAATTTTATTTGGACGTAGCAAAGATTAGCGGATTCATTCCAGGCTTGTGGGAGTTCTGTGTGAGCACCAGGTATTTCAAGAAACAAAATCAGCAACCCCTAATTTACTAGCTACGGGATCTGGCCCCACCCCACCCCAAACACACACATATCCACAATTGCATCAAAGTGGAAAACGGTTCCCTTTGTGGGACATTAAACACGATCAACAAACTGGCTTGCACCCGGGGCTACATTCTGCTGTCTTCCTGAGAGAGAGAGCCAGACATCCCTGGTGAATACAAATTCCAACACTTTGAAGAAAGGGCTTCTTTACAGTGTGTGTTTGTGTGTGTTTGTGTGTAAAGCTACAAGCCGTTTCTGCCAGGAAAGCTGAAACTTGGTTGCAGAACCAAAGATACTCCCTAACTGAT